CTTATCCCCCCCCCCCCCCCCCACCACCACCACCACCACACACACACACCCGAGCACGTCTCCTCGAGCATCTGAAGCGCCTCCTCCCGTGGCATGTGGTCGGTGGTGGCGCAGGCGGCCACAGAGGAGCGCTCCGCGGGGGCGGCGCCGCTCAGCGTCAGCACCCGGTCAGTGGCGGCTGCGGGGGGGGCACGAGGCGGGGCGGGGAGGTGGGTGGGTGTGGGTTTGGGTGGTTGAGGGAGGCGTGGGGAAGATAGGGAGGCGGCGAAGATAGGGAGTGGCGGCCGCTGGGCTTCATCCCCCGCTGCACAGCCCAGCCTGCTGCCCCCCGGCGTTTTGCCCCACTGGGACAAACAAATATAGCCACCAGCGTTGCCCAGGAGTGCCCGGAGGAAGCCAGGCCCCCCCAGCTTGGCCCCAGCCCCCCCAGGAGGAAAGGACAAAGGCGCGCGGCCCCATACCGCAGGGAGGGAGGGCAGCAGGCGCCCACCTGCGTTGCTGATCTCCAGCCTCCACAGCATCATCTCAAACTTCTCCTCAGACAGCCGCTCAGGCTGCGGGCGCGGGAGCGCAGGCGGCAGGCAGTGATGGCGGTGGTGGCGCGGCAGGCAACGAGGTGCAGGCCGCAGGCGGTGGCGGCGGGCGGGCGAGCGCAGATGGCAGGGTGGGAGGGCAACCCCACGCTCCCAGCCCAGCAACGCCACACATGTGCCCGCCGCCGGGCCGCGGGCGGCGGGGAGCTGCGCCGCTGTACCGCACCTCGCTGCCGTTGTACTGCTTCAGCCACGCCTCATCCTCTGCATCCAGGTCGTACTCAACAAAGATGTGGTCCTCATACCCCACCCCGCCTGCGGTACGGACAGAGGAAAGGCGGTACACGCCGAGAGGACCGGGGTTTCAAGGCACAGGCCGGCGGTGGCGGAGGCCAGGGCCTGAGCTTGGCCATGCCAGCACCTGCCCGCCAGCGGATCTGCCCAGCCAGCCGCACACCCACAGCTGCAGCCCCGGGGCGCCGGGCCGCTCGCCCTGCCGGGCCGCGAGGCGCCGCCGAGCCTGCCCGCCAGCCCGCCAGCCCGCCGGCACCAGCCCTAAGCAGCCAGCCGAGGCCCAGCAACGCCCCGCAGCCCCAGCAGCACCCGACCCAGCGACAGTGCCGCCCATTCGTAAGCGGCAGCTGCCTTACCCTTGGGCCGGATGTAGGTGTTGCGCTCCCGCCTCACGGGCAGGTAGTCTGTGTGGTAGGTGGGCACCCTCACGATCCCGGGGATCGGGATCTCCTTGCCGCCCATGGCATGCTGGATCATCTTGGGCTGCTCTCGCAGGGCACACAGCACAGGGTGGGGAGCGCGGGGCGAGCGAGCGGCGGTGAGCGTGGCGCCGAGCGCGCCGGCACGCCGGCATGGGGCGGGTTCGGGCGCCGACAGCTCTCGGCTCACGCCGCATCGGCCATGCTGCCCAGCGGCGTGGCCCAGCCGCAGGCAGCAGCAGGCCACACGGGGCAGAGCAGCGGCAGGCGGGGGGGCAGGCGGGCCTGCCGCCGGCTGCTCAAACGGCACACTGGGGCGGGCAAGGCCGCAGCCTGCTGCGCTCAACTAGTTCCCCAGGCCGGGATCGGCGGGGCTGGGGGGGCCAGGGGCCCCACCTTTTCGTTTTCTGCGTCGAGAACAGCATGGTTGTGGACCACGTCCCGCGCCGGCAGGCCCTCGGTGCTGTCCAACAGCTCCAGGTCGACAATCAATTCCAGGGGCCGACTGACGTCCAGGGGCCTCGCCCTGAAGGCCCTACTCATCGTGGCCTGCTGAGGGCCTCTCCGGACCCCTCTCCCCGCGTCAACTGCCTGTGCACGCCTGACGGCGTGGTCTGGACGTTGGGAGGGGCCAACGGGAGTACACACACCTCACAGGGACAGCCTGGCACTGGCCCTCCTCCCCTTTCGAGTTTTCTCGGGGCTTAAAACAACTATCTTTCAGTGGAAACGACTCGTATGGGGCACTGTAACCGATCAAAACACCACCGCCGGCCTTGCATTGCCTGGGCTGCTCGCCCCGGGCCTGCCGCCACACCTCCCGCCTTCGCCTGAAGCTTCGCCGCAGTCTGCAGGCTTGCTTGCCATGCAGTGTGGCTGGATCGGTCAGGTTGCCCCACATAGTGCTGCTGAGATCACAGAGGAAACCCGGAAGCATGCCAGTCAAAGCGCGCCCGTCGAGGGGTGTGTCGGTGATTGGGCGGCGGGTCGCTTGCGTGGCCAGCTGCGCCCGCTTTGCAAAAGCCGGGCCTGCCTTTAGGCTCTGAACCTGTGATGACCTGGGCACTGTTCTGTCTGGCGCAGCCGAGAGTTGTCGCGCCCAGCACACTGTGTGTGTTTCAGTGGGGCCTCCGTGTCTGGCACGAGGCACCATTTATGCCTTGCGGCGCTGGGCTTTACATCAACAGCTGGCCACCTGATGCTGCCCCTTGATAACCGTCTTCACACTGTTTGCCTCCCCCTGTGGTGAGACTCCTGAGAGCGGCAGCCAACCGCGCGCCGTGAGGGCACTCACTGGTGCGGTGGCGGCAGGCCGGTTTTCCGCTGGGAGGCAGCGGCGGCGGCGACATCCCCCCAGCCTGCCTCGTCCTGCTTCTGTCCCAATGCATGCGGATGAACACTATGGGAATTCCGTAATAAGGAAAAGGAGCGGCGAAATTCACTTGTGTTTAGCCCAGGAGTGCCCTGCCGGGTGGCAGTCGGATCGTCCACCGCGTTTAGGCCTCAAGGAAGCTGACGTTTCGCTCTTGCAAATCACACTGCCAGCTCTCTGCAGACCATGACGCCGCTGCCGCGGCCACAGGCCATCGCCCCACTCACTGAAGACCAAGATTGGTGTGACATTGGTGCGTGGCACATTGCCGTAGCACGGAACCGAGCAGCCTGACGGCCGCCCGCGTGCCTCTGTGAGTCGAGGCCTCGCTGCCCCTCGCTGCCCCCCTGTAGCAGCCCCCCCTGCAGGGCACCCCCAAGGTGTGTCTGCTACTGCAGAGCCTGTGCAGCCGTCCCCGCCTCAAGACGGCGCAGCTGCGGAGCCTAAGGCGGCCAAGCTAGCTCCGGAGGCCACGCTGCCGCCGCCGCCCGCCGCGCCCCAGCCGCTCACCGGCGCCCCCGCCCCGAAGCTGGAGCTCGCGGAGCAGGCGCGGCAGCAGGCGGCCGTGCGCGAGCTGTGGCCCACTGCTCACAGGCTCCTCATCGGCCTGCTCGTCGCAAACGCGGCGCTGCTCCTCATCTGGCGCGTCGCCTGCACCGGCCTCATGCTTGCCGCCGCCGCCTGCGCCGCCGCCGCCCACTTCCACTTCCGCCCCTGGACCAAGCCTGCCAGCGCGGCCTCGCTGGAGCGGTGGGTGGAAGGCTATGGAATAGGCGTTTTCGTGATGGTTATTCTCATAGGCTTCAATGCCTCCATGCACCAGGCTCGTATGATTCGTGTCCAACGTGGCCCTCCGTGAGTTGGCAATGAATCCCGCCTGCCGCACAGCGTGTGGCCTGCACCTGCCACGTTGCCGCACCAGCAGCTGCGGCTGAGGGCTCGCCCTGGCCCCGCGCACCCCTCACACCACATCCATCCCACCCCCTCCCATGCGCAGGGCGGCCGCCGCCATGCCCACACGCGAGCAGGATTGGGCTGAAGCTGCAGCATGGGGCACCGCTTGCGTATGGATATTTGCTGTAGCACCCATGGTGTTCTTCATGTTGGACCTGAGCACCAGACTGGAACGCATCACTGCCGCCTCCGAGCACCCTGGCTTGCCGTCCACAAGGGCAGTGGGCAGCCAGGGGGAAGCTGAGCTGGCGACCCTGCGCCAGCGCCTGCGCCTGGAGGCCGAGGCCGCCGAAGCCGCGGCCGCCGAGGCCGCGCTGCGGCGAGCCGCCGAGGCCGCCGAGGCCCTGCACCGCAAAAGGCGGGCGCGGCTGGAGGTTCGGGAGGTGCGGGCCCTCGACGTCTATGCCGCCGCCGAGGCAGAAGGTGAGTGGGATGGAGGCGCGAGGTCCCTGCCTTGGAGGCAAGGCGGGCCCACGCTGCAGCCGAGACGGGCTTGGCTTGGAGAGAGGTTGGGCGTTGGCAGCTGCCGGCAAGCCGGACACCTCCGCCACACGGCACGCCTGCTGTCTTTCACGCCGCCACTGCCCCCGCTGCCTGGCACATGCTGCAGGGGTCCCGCAGAAAGTGCGCTGGGCACGGGACCAGTGGCGGGAGGCCGATAAGAAGCTGGAACTGTACTGCATGGATCCCGAGCTGTACCGCAAGGAGTACCTGTGTGACTTCAATGAACTGGGCCGCCCGTAGTACCCTTTGGGGGGGTGCGCAGGCTGCAGCCACCCCATGCGGCTGCCAACAAGGAAGGCGGCGCGGCGCATGCTGTTGCTGCCACAAAATGCTGGCAGCGCAGCTATGCCCCGCTCTGAGCAGGCATGATCGGGCGGGCATTGTTTGGTGTTTCAACCGATTGATGTAGCGGCTTGTTTGATGTCTGATTGGATAGAATGTTTTGCTTTGCTTATTAGCCATGCACATACGTTTGGGGGGCTACACACATCCGAGTCGGCATGCTGGTGCCACCTCAGCAACCAGAGCGCATGCAGCGTGCACGACAGGGAAGCACATTGCAGCATGGAGCAGGGCGTGTGCTTCCTTCACAATTGCACCAAAGTGCTGCCCAGCAGGGAAGGGCTCAGTGCAGGGTGCGGCAGGAGCGGCTGCTGACGGCGGCGCGGCGGGTGCGCCGGTTGGTGGCAGGCTGGCTCCGCCAGCTGCTGGCCAGCCAGCGCTGACGGCTGCCTGTCGCCGCATGCAGGCAGGCTGGCTCCTGAATGGGTGAGGGGTAGTGACTCGGAGGCAGGGTCAACGATCGCTCCACTGCGTCGTTACAGGGCTTCGGTGGGGGCGGCTGCTCAACAGGCATGCATGCCGGCAATGCCCCGGGTGGGGGAGAGGTGCACGCTGCTATGGCGCGTGTGGGGGAACGCTCAGAGGTTCAGGGGATCAGGAAGGATCTTGCAAAACTGGGGCGCAGGCTAGCTACGGTGAGGCACCATGCGCTGCGTGTTCGGGGGGATCAGGGGTCTAAGGGAAGGGGAGAGACGCTGCCAAACTGGCTTCGTAGGGGCGCTAAACACGTGTGTCTGGGGGGAGGAAAGCTGCTGTCGGGGTGGAAAGCGGGACTGGGGCCAGGCGCCGCCGCCAAACGGCAGCGACCGGGTCGAGCGCCAGCTGGCGTGGGCGCGCGCCTTGCTCCATGTAGCAGGCTGGGCGGGCCGGGGAATGGCTCCGAGAGGTGCCAGCCCGGCCGGTGGCGGCATTTGTGTCGTGAGTGAGGTTGAGCGCATTGGAAAGAACACCCAGGCCGGCGGCGGCACTCAACGGAGCAGTAGTAGTTGACGACTCCCTGCGCATAGGCGATCGCCTTCTTTCCAGCCGGCACCTTCTCCTGGATGCAGGTGGTGACGTCGCTGCAGCGGGAGCGGCGGCAGGGTAGCGCGGCGGTTTGGTGGCCCTTTGCCTCCCCCCACGCCGCTCACGCGGCGCAGCCCCGGCCCGTCTGGAGGCACGCCAATGCAAGCGGCAGCAGCAGCGGCGGCGGCTGCTGTGGCGGCGTCGACGGCGCTCACTAGTGGGGTGGGCGCTCGGCGGCGGAGGCGTACAGCACGCCCTTGATCTTCTTCCCGTTGTCAAAGTAGGCGCCCTTCTTGCAGCCGTACTTGGAGCCCTGCCGCTCCAGCTGGGGCTCCGCAATCTGTTGGGGGGAGGGGATTCGCGGCGGGCAGGGGTTGGCGCCGGGCAGGCATCGCGGGGGCGCAGGGCTGCGCGGGCGACCTGCCGAGGCGGCCGGCGAAGCTGGGGCTGGCAGGGGCGCAGGAGGAGCGCAGGCAGCTGACAGGCTGTTGCAAAGGGAGGAAAGAAAGAACGAAATGAAAGAAGGGAAACGACAAAATAGAGGAAGAAAGGAAGACGAAGACAGGAAGGAAGCAAGCAAGGAAGGAAGAAAGGAGGGCAGCGGGGCGCGCCTGCAGGAAGTAGGCATCCACCACGGCCCGCCCAATCACGTAGTCCTGGTCTGTCTTCTCGCGGCGGAAGCCCTTGGGGCACTTGATGGCTGCAGGGCGGCCATGGGGGTGGGGCAGGACAGCCGGCGGGCAGGCGGGTGGGCACAGAGGAAAGAGGGAGACACAGCGCAGGCAGGTGGGCAGCCCGTGGCAGGCGGGCACGCAGCAGGCACAGCCCTGGCGCAGCCGCCGATGCCGGCGCAGCCGCCGTGGGAGGCAGAGGGCAGCGCCGGCGGCACAGCAAGCAAGCGGCACGGCAGGCCGGCGGCGGGGGCGCACAGGGGAACCTCTTGCCCTTGCCGGGCTTGTACTTGATCTCCTTGTAGGAGCTCTTCTTGCTGCGGGGTGAGGGGCAGGGCAGGCGGGGCCAGAGGCCAACCCGCGCACAGCGAGGCAGGCAGGCGTCTGGAAGGGCGGGCGCTGGGCGTGGCAACGGCAGCCACGCCCCACCAGCCGTGCCCCAGCCATGCAACCCAGCATCCTGGTGGTGGCAGGCTCCTCCTCCTGCTGCTGCTGAGCCCCCACCTGGGCAGAGCCTTGACCTTGATGACGTTTGACCCTCCCAAGCCGCCGCCGCTCTTGGACTGCAGGGGCAGGGGCAGGGCAGGGAGGGGTGGGCGGCAAGTCGGGAAGGCACACGGCGCGGCGGGCGGGGCTGCTGTGTGCTAGTGGGCCAGCCCAGCGCAGGGCTTGGGGTTTAGGGCAGTGAGCATGCG